GAGAACGTAAAACAAATCATAAGAATGTTGAACCAAATGATTCAGTTGACATATATAGACCCATAAGAGAGTTCAATCACCTTGTGAGGTTAGGCAATTGAGGAAGCCATCCTCTGTACTTTCTAACTCTATGAACTCATCTAACTCGCTATTAAAGAAAGTGAAGCTGTAGTCTAGAGGACAAATTAAATATGATAATTAGATGGCAGACTTAGACATTCAATTCAATTATATATGAAATGTTTTTAACCTTGTAGTTTACTATCGAGAGTTGTATACTTTTAAAAAGAAAGAGAGTAGGACTGTATTCTCAAACTTTCAGGAATCAGTTTCACTCAGAATTCTTATTTGTAAAAATTCATTGATATCTATTTAGTAAAGATAGTCGACTATGCACTTGATTAATTGCAAGATATAAATACATTTTAACACAAAGGCATCAAATTCATAGGGTCCTCATAATTGATATGTTGTAGTTCAAAATGTTGTAAACCAACTTATTTGATATGTTGAGATTAATCTTATTCGCTTTGTCTCTTTCAGTCTTTTCTCTTCGTACACAATTTATCAGTGTTGGTTGTAGGTGAGTTTTGCTTTCTTATTTTTGGAATAGTAATTGCGTAAAAATTGTTTAAATTGGGTAAAATTGCGAAAGCTCTTATGATTTTTGGAATAGCTGTTGCCTAGAACAACTCAAATTGTTTTTTATATTACTCGATTCTATTTGTGCAAGGAAAGCTTCTTTAGCCCTTCGTTCCGCCAACAAAGAAGTCATCCTTGACGATTTCCCATTCCTTTCCTGCCGAGCCGCCTCTCTTCGCCATTCGATGCTTCCGCCTTCCCTTTCTTTTTAATTTTATTTACTCTTCTGTTTGAAGTCTGGTCCTCAGTCGGAAGGCCCTTTTCTGTTAAAAAACAATTAAGTTTCAATCAGAGGACTCATCCTCTTAGTTTACTGGAAGTTTATATTTCTAATTCCTTTGTTTCACCTTCGTTAGTCTGAGAATTGACTCCTTCACAGTCAAATATGCTTGGGATTTGTAGAAAAGTTTGTACCTTTTTATGCTAAATCTTGAGATGCCAACTTGGATTTGTTGTTTAAATTAATAAAAAAAAAAAAAAAAGTTTTGCTATGTGAAATCTATACAGAGGAAAGTTAGAGCCATGCTTCTTCCATTGCTCAGTCCATTCATCTTATCAAGAAACGCCTCAAGATTTCCTTATCTATCTCTTGTTGCATTTTGGAGTAGCTGTTTTCTTTTTCTTTCTGTTTTGGGCTTTACTTAATTTAGATGGATCACACTACTAAAAAGTTGTGATCTTTATGACAAAGTTTAAAAAGAGAGAAAGAGAGAGAGAGAGAGAAATTTGTGATGTTTATGACAAAGTTGTGAACTTTATGCGCATATTTAAAAAAAAAAAAAACTTGTGATATTTATGACAAAGTTGTGATGTTTGTGCTTATCCAAAGAGAAAAATAAGTTTGTGATCTCTTTGAAAGAGTTGTGAAATATGCGATTCTACATTTCATATCTGATAATGGCATACTTTCCCAGTAGGGTGCGGGTTTGGGGGGGGGGGAGGGGGTTCGAGGTAGGTGATGGACACGGAGAGAACGCTACCACGATAATAATATCTGCACTGATGTGAGCTTGGTATAGTTGCTCTCAAGCCCGGATAAATGAGTGTTACACTAAATTGACCCCAAAAATAATAACCTTCATGAATCCTCATGACATTGAAATTGTTAATTGTTATATAGTAGCTTCAAAATTGTGGCAGGATACGAGAAGGATGTAAATGAATGATCTTGTTACTCTAAATGTAATAATAGTAACTGATAACCAGCATAACTAGTCTGACAAGAAACTCTTGTTGTACTTGGGAATGATTAGGAGTGTGTTACTTTATCTTTAGATTAACTAACAATCTAGTTCTTAGTGATGAATATGCAAGTACGAAAAACCCAATTCCTGCTTGATATAATAATTTAAGAAATAAATAAGTAAAATCGTAATTCATCTTCTAGATAAAACTGATTGCTCGGTCCTTCTCTATCAAAACAGAATGTGCTTCAGCCTATCCCGACATATACTCTTGCAGCCATGAGTCCACCAAAAGGAACCTTTAACCTCATCGAAAAATATTTTGAGAAGTTCTTTTGGGGCTCAGACAGTTAGAAGAGCAAGTATCACTGGAGCTCATGGAGCAATTGATTTAAAGGAAAAGAAGAGGGAGGCACTGGTATTAGAAGCTTGGTTGATATTAGTATTACTCTTGCCATTGAAAGGTGGTGGAATTTAAGAACAAATCAAAATATTTGGAGCTCCTTCATTATCAATAAATATTGCATCAACAAACACCCTGTTGCTAAAGCATGGAGAAGTGGACAATCTCACACCCGGAAACATCTATTGGAGGTTAGGGACCAAGCTGGGAAGAATATCCTATGGATTATCAATAAAGGGAACTCTAAGTTTTGGTGGGATAACTGGACTGGTAAGGGTGGACTTGCCAAACAACACCCTTGTCCAGCTAGATCTCACAAGATTCAAGTGGCAGATTATATTAATCAGGGAACATGGAATATGGCCAAGCTTACTCATGCTCTTCCATTAACCATAGTTTAAAATTTCGGTATTTCGGTTTCGGTTTATTTTTGGTATTTCGGTCTAATTTGGTATTGCATTTTCGGTATCTCGGTATTGTTCTTGGTATTAGAATTTTGAAATTTGGTATACCGAAATACCGAAATTTTAAAGCCTTTTTTTTTGGACCCTGCTAGCCCCAAGCCTAGTTTTATAATTTAATTCCCAATTCCCCATCGCCCCCCTACCCCAAGCCCAACTGCCTAAGCCCACACTCTAATTTCGTAGACTTTGTATTTTGAGAAAATCTCACTTTATACCTATTAAGCTCAAACTATTTACCTTTTAATACCCATGCCCAAACTATTTACCCTGCCTACCCAGTCGGCCCAATTTATTTACCCGGCCCCCATATTTCACGCGGCCCAATCTACCCATCTCTTCCTTATCTTCGATCCAGCCCATCTATTTCACCCGTCCCAAGCTTCCCACGCTTTTCTTCGTTCTTTAACAGTTAACAAGTAGAGTAGAGTACAGTTTCCAAACCTCCATAGCCAACCGATGAGAACGCAAAATTGAAACACATTCGAGTTTTAAATTTTTTCTTCCGATTCCGTTCTATATCTTCGTCTAGTACCTAATTTTGGGTGACATTTTTGCTTTGAGTGAATTTTTTTCTTCTGAAAGTACATTTTAGTGAAAGTGGATTTTCAAAATCATAGGATTTTTGTGTTTTCCTTTGTACTTTTGTGAATCAATGTCTATGGGTTGTTGTTTTCTCTATGGGTCGGAAGCATTGTGCGCGTAGATGGTGGCGCCGTGGACAATATCATTCTTCAACACAAGTAGCTGCTGAATGCGTTGCCTCAGCCATGTCTGTTCCTAGTTTTTCCTTATTTTTCTGATTCTCAGTCTCCATTTAGTCGTAACCCTAGCAGTAGTCATGTTGAAAACACAACTGAAAATGTAGAATTAGAGGGTGGAAAAGGCAACAATATTAATGCTTCGTCAGTCGATGAAACTCCCTACCTGTCATTACCCGACACAAATTCCGAACCAGTCATAGGAGGTGTTCCTGCGACTGATAAGGGAAAAGGTAAAGTTGTTGAGGATTATGAGTTAGGGGGAAGCAGACGTGAATCCCTGCCTAAAACAGAGACTCAACCAGTAGATGTTGATTGTAGCAATGATTCTCAGTTAAAGAAGAGAAAAAATGGTGTCGCATCCAAGAAGGTAATTTTCTTACAATTATGATCTTTGAGATTTTTAATGTATAGTACATTGTTATTTTTGATTTCCTGTTATGCTTTTGTATTATATTATAGTTATTGTCAGTTGTGTTAATTTTAAGTGCATTCTATTTCTTCAAGTTCATTGTGTACATTTAAGAGAACTGTTGTAAATTTATTACGATTTCCATTTATCTGTTTATTCCAGCTATCTGTTTNGGTAGAGGGGTCACGGGACCCCGTAAACATCTGGAAAAATTCTATATATATATATATATATATATATATATATATATATATATATATATATATACCTTGAGAAGTGGGTTTATATTTAATTGTGCACCCTAAAGCACAAAAGCGTGATTGGGGCATTGGTCAAATGCGCTGCTTGCTTCTGTGTGTGTTGGATGTCCTAGGTTCGAATCTGGACGCCCTCACCTTCCCTAAATAATTTTCCTTTTTAGCTTAAATATTAACTGTACCCTAGACTTTCCATTTATTTATATCTTGCCTTTTTAGCTTAGGATTCAACCCCCCCTCCAAACCTCCTTTTTTTTTCTTTTAATTATTTTTTCAAATGTTTTTTGTTTTGATAAAACCCTAGCCTTAAAAACTCTAAATCACTTCTCTCTTTCCTTTTCCCAAACTCCATACCCAACTTCACCTCCTAACTCACTTATATATGTCAGTTATCACCGAAAGTTTATCAGCATCCGGCGGGACCCAACAACTATTGGTAAAGTTCTCCACTAATAGTGCCCCCGTCATCTTCAAATCCTGGGTGCCTCTGATTATTTAGAGAGATGGAAATTGCCTAGTATGAGAATAAAATATGATAAGGCAAACTTTTTTGTAAGTTAATTGTCCTTATGTGTTTCGTAATTGTAATAGTATTCTACTGTAATACTGCACTAAACATTTTTGTCACTGAGGCAAGGCCACATCCTCCTCAGGTGTATTCCATGTTATTCAATGACAACCCAGACTCTACTGGGAATTTTATTTTTTTTTTAAAAAAAGTCTTAAAAGCCTATGAGAACAGGTAGATTCTAATTCCAAATAGGATTCATTCTTTTTATCTTTGCTCTTGGACCAGGTAATACTAACATGGTTATGTCACTTACTGGATCAAGTTATAAATTTGCTAGATGCAAGGAAGTGGCAACAAAGGTTAAATAGTTTTGTGCTTCCAATGATTAAAGTTTTTGAATATTGTTGCGACTAAGTCATTTTCTCGATATTCAAGTCATTTTCTCAATATTCTATTGATGACTTACGTCTTAGATGAAATATAATATATACACTACTATAGCTAAATTCCAAAACAATGTCCTTCTTGCTCAAAAAATTATGTAAAACTTATTGATTCTTTAGTTCCCTGTACTTAAAAGAATGACCAATGAGGTTGGGAGCTCCACATGTTATTTAGTAAACCAGAAGTCTCTATTCTTCTCTTACCTTCAATCAATTTCTAAACTTCAGACATGGAAGATTGTAAAGGGAATTCGATTGCCTTGTAGGTTCCATCTCCATTAAAGTATCAGTCAATGCTTCATTCGTACAAAATACTTTTACTGTTTGAAAGCATCAGCAACTACTTAAATTGTAAATTGTTATATCGTATTTACTTTCTTCGTGATTTCGTAATGATTAAAATTTTAGAGCCCGGGTCAGAGAGAACCTTTCCAACAATATAGATCTGACCGACAGGGCTATCCAAAGCAATGTTGCTAAGTTGAAGAAACTAAAGAATGGGATGAGAAATATATAGATCCCTATCTCTTAAGATAGGGCAAGGACATGACTGTTGAAGATAAATTAAGAAATAAGTTGTGTGTTAAATTCTACACAGATGCTAATTCAATTTACCGCACTTATTGTGGCTCATTTATACATGGTTTAGCCATGACTATATTAAAAATACCAACCACACATAGTAGCTAATTGAATCCACATTGCCAGTTCAGTATTCCTTGTTGCTATTGCATATTTAATCTACACAAAAGTAGCATTGCAAAGAAAATATTGTTAGGCTGACTGCACTGCAATTAAAAAGTTGACTCATCATTTGTTGGGGCATGCATCGTGTGTAACTATATGGTTTTACTGAACTGGCTAGGTTAATTGTATATTTACATCCTTTCTTTGTTCTTATTGGTGACATTACTAAAGTTTTGCACAGTGCCACTTATCTTTATTGGGAGGACTTTCACTCAGATTGTCGGAAGCACCCTAGCTGCACAGGCTGCTGAATATCCATAATTATAGCAAACGAGTTGCACGAACCAACTATGCTGGTATGCAAAGGATACAACTTTCTTGTATCCGTAGAGAACTGCTATGAATTCTTTACTAACAAAATTCAAACAATACAGGATTACATTGTCGACAAGGTACAATCCGATTATACTGATAAATCCACCATATCCCTAAGTTGGAGAACTTATGAACTGGTATGAAATAAATATTTATGCAATCAAGTTTTATAGTTTATTTATTAGTTCATGCGAATGAAACATATGCGGAAAAACATACAATTAGCAAGCTATAAGTTAAAACTCGCATTTTCAGTTAAATAACAATTTGACCACATGTATCCAGAACTTCATACAATAATTTTAAGTCATTCTAAATATACATGGTGTTTTATTGGTTTCTAAAGTCCTGTACATATATAGTGTTGGAGACAAGGAAGATATAATGGCAAGGTACAGATGGGCAAGTTCTCCGCAAATAGCTTTATCACATGTACTTGTACCAGTACATGATAACATAGTACCAACTGCAGAGATTCAGCCGCAGTCTCCTGTATGTATTACATACATGCAAATATATGTGAGGTATTTTAGGATTACAGTTACAACTCAACAAATCTACTTCTATCCCCCTTCTCAGATACATCTCTTTCGCATCGGAGGTAAAATGTTGCTACCGGCTGCTGACCAAGAGCTTTATGACTATTATGTTCCCACTGCGGGCAACAATTCAGAACCGCTGTAAGGAGAATTGTTCATTGTGCAAGCTGCAACAGACGTGCGATGTTAATACCCAGGTATCACAATTTGAATTCCAAGCTCGCTAATATCTGTTAATGTAACATCTTCAATTCCAAATGTTTTATTCTTTCATTCACTTTATGCAAATCAAATAACACACAATAACTTGCATATCATGGCCTGCTTTGATGTATAATTGCAGATTGCAGTGGAACAGTTGTTGCAACCTTATCAAGCCAATTAGGAGAGAAATTTCTTGAAATTACCTCTGCAAAAATGTATGAAATAATCTGTGTAAAGGCATGTTAGTGAGAATAAGAGACTTTATTAGTCATTTCTGAGAATTCATTGTACTTTAGAAAATCATTCTACCCTTATTGACAAGCCATTGAGATGAAAAGCATGACAGACTATAGTCTCGGCTAAAGAGCTTTCACAACCCATGGTGTCATTGTTTAGGTTTCCTTGGTTTACTGCCAAATGCAAACTTGATTTGGGCCAGAGGTGCACCTTTAAGTTATAACTCAGTAAACATACAAAAGAGCTATTGTACTCGTGTAAAGTCAATTTCTACTGAAACTGACAATAAATAGAAAAACCCAACATACACATTCACAATCAACATGTGCACATACAAAAGAGAGAAAGAAAGGACTTAATAGCATCAGAAGAAGATAATTGTCACATAGCTCAGTTGACTAAACCTTTTTCTAAATTAGCCAATATACATTGTTGGTTGCCCTGCAATTTTGAGGTGAGAAATCAAATAATTCAAGTCCTTTTTACTGTTGATAAGATATTTGAAACATGAAATCTCAAAATTTTCACCTTGGTTTTGCTTTGTATGTTCGTTTTGTATATTTAGATGTGCAAATGAAATAGAGTAATGCTATGTTTTGGTTTTTAATAGAGTAATGCTATACACATACTTTATCAAACTAATTCAATCTCTTAAAAAGCTTGGAAATATTCCGGAAAAACAAACTTAATGTCGCAGACGATATTGCAACCCAAATGGGTAAGTTTAATAAGACACTAATTTTACATCACATATCAAACTTGAGCGTACATTTTAAGCTTCTCACAAGATCTCTCCAACGAGCCAATCGTTACATACCTCAAATAACAACTCATTACCTGAAAATCATACATCTCAATTTTACAGAGTGACCGTACGACAACTCACATAGGCACCGGCCCATAGTATTAATATTGAATGCAGATGGCTGCGATGTTACTGTTAATGTCATTTCCCGTTGCAATTTTCTCACTTCTTTCAACAACTTCTCATCTTTCGACATTGTAAAATTTTTACTTCATTTAAATTTCATATTATAATGTTTCAATTGCCCCCACTTGTCCAAGGACAACTTCCCAGTAAGTTTCTATTTTTGCAAAATCAAGTTTAGAGATCAATCTTTGTAAGATGATGTAGTAGCAACTTCTGTTTTTTCTCTGCTGACATCGCTTTGTATTTTTCACGTCGGTTGACATTCCTATCCGTTTCTGATAGGGGGCGCTTGTTTTTTTGTGTATGATCCATCAAAACCGTAGTACCTACTCATAAATGATGTTGCACAAACTGTCATAGCCTTTAAACGTTGTATTAATATTTATCACCGAAATGCATGTCACACGGCATGAAGTGACAAAATTGAGGCTATCTTTGAACAGATATAGTTACCCCAAGGAAGAAAATATATGGTCAGTTGGAATAAGCAATGGATGTTAGTCTGCTGGAGCAGTGGCTACTATAAATGAGGACTGAAGAAGCTATGCATACATGTTGGATTCCTTCGAAAGAAATTCATGGTGTTTTGAGGGCAAAAAAGCCTTGTACGAATGGTGAAGTATGGATTTGGATTGTTAGCATTTTGGTGTAATGAGTGTGATGTAAATGAGAAATAGTATGATAGACTATAAACACTCTACCAGAAACAATTGTATAGAGAGGACAACCGTTAATTACTAGAAAAATCAACAACTTTAATAACGGATAAGTCTTGAATGATCATGATAAACATGCAATTATTTTAAAAAGAATAAGGACAATGAGACTCGACTTATTCTTTTCTAATTAAATTTGGTAAACTTTTATGATTTGATCCGATTATTTAGAAAGCATGTTCATTATAATTTATATCCATTATTTCTTGGTTGTTTCTTAGCCGTTCCTCTATTGACGTAAATCTTATGAGTGGTTCAGTTTATATTAGATGAGTATTTTTTGGCAAAATCTCATCGCTACTTTATTGAGGTTAGTCTTGATACTTACTGAGTACATGGGGTCAATTGTACTCATATTACATTTCTGTACCTTGCGTGCAGATTTTGGTGCTGAGTTGTTGTGAAAGCTGAAGGCTAGCATTGAAGATGTACCGGTATTCCAATTGCAGGCTACCATTTTGCTTATGGTAGTTTAATAATTGCATTTCTATATTTATATTTCAAATAGATGATGTATTCACTTTACACTAAAGTTGTACTTCTTAATCATAGTGACTCATGACTTATACCACCATTTCTTGGGATAATATGTATTAATTTTCACGTACTTATTTATATTTATTTGGTGATCTTCAGTTTTGAGTTGTGTTTATGTTGGTTGGCTCATCTAGCCAGTTGAGTTAGGTGATGGGATTTGGTCATGATAGAAGGCTTTGAAAAGCCCTTGAAAATTGTGAGTTTTGACTTAACAGAACAACCTTGATGCCTCGAATAGGGGTCGCAACGAGTGACAAGCGATGAGTATAACAACTCGATCGGTCCTTTCGTGTTCTAGCATCTCTTCTGTGATTTGACCCTTACCACAGGTCCATTTGGTGTTTTATAACTTGCAGTTATGAGTGATTTTTGTCCCAAGAGATTTGGAAATGATTTGGAACACTTCTTAAAGGGAAACTCTAAGTTGTAAGAGTTGACCATGGTTTGACTTTTGAGTAAATAGACTTAGAATCAAGATTGATTGTTTCTATAGGTTTGTGTGGTGATTTTGGACTTGTACGTATGTTCAAATTTGGTGTTGGAGGTTCCTAGAAGAATTCGAACATCATTTATCGAAAGTTAGCAATATGAAGAGCTTAAGAGTTCGTAAGTTTGACCAAGAGTTTATTTTGATGTTATTGGACTCTAATTAGTGTTCGGGTAGGTCTATATAGTTGAATTGAAGTTTTGTGCAACGTTTGTAAGTAGTAAGAAGTGTCTAAGTGTTATTCGGACACTCTTTTGAAAGAATGAAGATTTAAGAACTTAAGATTCTATTCGCTTTGAGACTCGATTCAAAAGACTTACCATAGCACATTTTAACACTTCAACTATTGAGGAGCTGCACCTTCTGACCAATACATTTGGAGGTCCACGTAGAACATGAACAGACTTTCTCAAGCAATTTTTTCGCTTTTTTTCTCTCCATATGTGGTATTTGCATATTTTGTCGGATGTGATCATTTCTAATCATGTCGGATCGCTCATATCTTCACATCCTAACTTGTGAATATATTGTACCATAGAGGCTCAACATTCACTCCAATATGTGATTGTTGGTTCACCACTATAATATAAAAACTAGCCTTTCATTTTGGTAGGGTCCTCCTATCGCACATAACTATTATTAATACCTCCATTTCAACCATCCTATTTTAGTTTGTGTTGTATCTCCATCTGTTATATTATTCTCCTAAAAGACTGAGTGTATATATAAAAAATATTTGCATTTACGCATCATAGTATAATCTAAGATCACATGTATAACACTTGTCTTACTTATATTAAAACTCTTACTCGCTGTAGTGCCTCTCCATAGTTGAAGTTTTTCCTTGCTAGTTTCATCAGCACAACATTGTCTACGAATAGCATGCACCATGGGACCCCATTTTTATATATTATTGGTTAACTAATCCATAAGTAAGGTAAAAAGGTATGGGCTCAAACAGTGTAAAACCACATTCTCTCCCCAAGTCGTCGCTTTTCCTTGATCTTCTTGTTGCACTTCGGTGAAATATTGTGGTAATTATTCCTCTTTCTTATCTTCTACCGCCTCTACGAGGGCTTCCATCTTTCATAGGATATTAGGTTCTAATATTCTATTGCTGAAACACATCATCAAAAAGTGAAATATTAATCGTAAGTGAAATAGGGTATTAAACCCAACGACAATAGTAACAATTTATTCTTTTCAATTGGATGCCCTCCGAGGGGACTCAAATTGCACAAATTTCCATTAACATCATAAGGAGGGATTTAGGGATCAATATAGAGACGGTTGCAATTTCTAAATCAACTTCAAGTTTCCATTAATATTTTTTACATTTTCGTTTGAACTTCTTGTTTTAAACTTTAGTTGGGTTTTATTGGTTTTAGTGTAGTTCTGAGTTAAAGTTTTGATTTTTTTGAAGTTTTGAGCTATTTGGTTTAATGGATTGGTTATTATTTCTTGAAATATTTAGTTGTGCTTCTTGGCTTGTGTATTACGTGGGGTTTTGATTATTTTTTGCTCCTAGAGTAAGAGATAAAATTTCCACTCCCAGAGAAAAGCCATTACATATTTTTACTATTTAATTTTACTGAGAATATACATCTGACTTCAATATTATTACTGTAGTATTGAAATACTTGGTGATCACATAACTGCTGTGCGAAGGGATCACGAACAAAGATCTCAAAGTGAAAAAGGAGAATAAGAAAAGTTACGAGAAGAAACCAAGAGAAAAGAAAAATCACTTCAAGAAGAAAAAGCCCGGCAAGAGACGATCAGAGCAAAGACAAGGTAAGTTTTTTTTCTTTTTGCTATCTAGAGAGATTTACAATGTGATATCAGATATGCTCATTGGAAATTACTGTATAGGTTTTCTGAAGATTAGACTTATCATCCTGATTCAACTATGTAATACGAAATACACTCATCAAGTGAAAGAGATTTTTGTTTCCCTTTGATGATGGTATCAGCAAATCGGTTCTTCAACATTGCAGCACATAACGCATTGCTCAGGGAAAGATCAATATTCATTTTTTTTATAAGGTAGAAAAGATCAATGTTCATAGGAGGATGTCAACCTATTTTCAGAAAACAGTAATCGGCAAATTAAAATTGAGTTCATTTCGAGTAAAGAAATGAAATGCCAGAAAGAGTGCAAGCAAGATACTCACTGTCACCCTATGTAGCAGTAGAAGCACATGTTAACTTACTTGGTCTAGACCATGATCTTTTTCTTAATAAAGGCTACGTTGACAACCTGCATATTATGGACATAACATCAATAAAGAACATTAACGCTTTATTGGTGTGACGACCCAAAGGGTCATCACCTGTATTCCTACTCACTCTGTATTTCCAAGGCCGTAAAAAACCTCACTTGAGGGTTGTCTCGAGTTTGTGTGCGCAGTCCGGGCGCGTAGCCGGAACGTTTAAATATGAATTTGTGAGAAAAATAATAAAAATTT